TGACTTCCTAAATTCCACTAACAGTTTATGTGTCCATTAAATGGTCAACCTAACAGTTATATATGAAAGTGCTAAAATGAGCCATTGACTTTAGCCTTTGCTCCAACATTTTACAACAGAAATTTAAAGGCTGAACATTTTCTACAAAAGATCCCCCTAGGTGGAATGTTTCTTCCTCTAATTCTGCAACTAATCTTTGATATCACACACCATGAAGGTTAACAGAAAAAGTTAAACATAGCAATTCATGGTTGATGACTATATACCTTTTTGCTTAGTTTATTTATGTATGTCCTTGTTTAACCACCTGTCATGTAATACCAACTTGGTGTTTACTGAGTTTAAGCTAATGAGGTAAAATCTCCAAGATTCTGTCCTTGTCTTAACAGGAAAGCACTTGCTGCAGAAAGTTCCCTGGGAACTGGGAACTTCTGTCCACTCTACCTTAGATGTCCAGTCCCTAAGGCTGGGGCAGGATGTCGCATTTTATATATATATATATATATATATATATATATATATATATATATATATATATATGTAGGAATAGAGTCAAAATAGTGCAATAAGTATCTGTGATCTTTGCACTTCTCTCTCATCTGCCACCAAATATCTTGCTTCCTCTGTTGCTTCCACTTCATACCTTTTGGAGATTAGGTATATAACATATTAAGAGTAAAAGTAAGGAGGATTCATGGTTTTCACAGAAATCTAAAAAACATCATACATTCCTAGAAAACACACACCTGAGACTATCTGAAATCATCTGGCAACATGCACAATCAACCCACATATTCTAGATAAAAAGCTCACAATTCAAGTTTAAAACAACAAACTTGCTTTAAAAGCGTCTACTTCCACATATTAATAAAGCAAAGAAAGTTGTCTGAAAATTTCCACAGCAAGCTTCCCAGGCCTCATGTTGAGATAAGGTGAGTAATAAATTACCCCAAAAGGAAAGCCTTAAACCACACTACAAAATCTACCACCACCACCTCTAATTTCTTACTCACTTTAATTACAAAAATAAATATATTCCACTCTCATGAGAAGGGAAAGGAGCTCAATAAATAAAGCCACAATTGTATCATAACTTACATCGGCATTTGGAAAATGAGTCCCTAGGATTATAATTTGCCAGCTGCTTTGATATAGAGATTATTTCCATCATGTAAAAGTCATGGTCCATTAACATCTGCTAGTCAGGTTTAGGGCCACCAAAACTCCCCCAAAATTACTGAGGAGAATGGAGTTTATGGAGATTCCAGCAACTGAGAACAGCAGCAAAGTGTGAATGTAGCTATACACCTACAGTCCAAATGACCCTCTATCTCAGATTACAACAATCACTTAACACAACCGAGCTTCAATTTCCCTAAATAAAAAAATGATTGGGTTAAAATGATGTGATAATATCTGAGATTCCTTTCAGTTATTAAAAAAAAACCTTCTATTTTTCAATAATATGTTTATTTTTTCATAGGGAGCACATTTATTTAATTCAAAACTTTTTAAATTCAGAAGATTAAAAATAACATCATAGTCTCTTGGTATCCATAGGGGATTGACTCCTGAACCCCAGACATGAGAATCCATGGGAGCTCAAGTCCCTATACTGATAATGGCAGCGTATTTGCGTATAGCCTAGGCACATCCTCCTGCAAACTTTAAGTTGTCTCTAGATTATTTATCATACCTGGTGCAATGTGAGATGTAAATAGTTGTCATATTATATTATTTAGGGAATAATGACAAGCAATCAAGTCTGTACATGTTCAGTATAATTTTTCCTAAATGTTTTTGACCCACTGTTGGTTGTATCCACAAATACAGAGGACATGGATGTGAAGGGCCAGCTGCTCTCCATTAAAGTCCCACTCCTATCCTTGCTCCTTCTGCCCACCTCCATACGCCATAAGCCCACACAGAAACAACAGCTCCAGCTAGTTTACTGTGCAGTATTTAAGAGATTTCTTACAAAAACATGAGCAAGCACGGTAAAGTTCTCTTACTTACTTCTTCTCTAACAAAAAAAGAAAGGTATTATGGTATACTGACAAAACTTTTACCATTCAGTGCATCTTGTAGAGCCTTCTATACGAGTACATAGATTCCTTCATTATTTCCAATAACTGCATAGTTTTCATTAGATGGATATCCAAAATTCATTTAACCAATATCCTATGGATGGACACTTGGATTTTTCTTCCTAGTCTTTTGCTATTAAAAATAATGTGGTAAAAAACCTTTTATGCATATACTTTCTGTATAGTTTATTCCTCTAGGAGAAATTTCCAGAAGTGAAATTCTGAGTCAATGGGCAAACGCATTTCCTCTGCCACCTTCCACACAGTTGCATCACCACCTTCACCTGCACAGTGACGTCTGAAAATCTTTGGTACTCTGCACTCATCAAATCTCAATGCTTCCGTTCTTTCTCCTTTGGACTTTTGCCTTCTGTGATAAATATGTAGCATCTCCCCATGATTTACACTTGTATTTCTCTTATTATGATGAGTTTTGCGTATTAATCAAATATGATTCTTTTACCGAGTTTTAGTCCGTTCATATTGCTTGTCCATTTTTCTGTAAGTTTCTCATCTTTTTTCTATTGTTTATAAGTAAAAATTCTATTGTTTCAAGAGAACAGTCCCATGGCCTGATAATTCCTGCATATTACCAGTGGATCCTGAACTATTTCTATGTATCACTTTTTAAATGCTTTAAGGGTTTAAAAGGTTATCCCTGAGATTTTGTAATTGGCATTCACTAATCAACCACACTGGATTTGCTAAAAATAACCTATCACATCCACAAAAAAATGTTCTTTTTCTTTGCAAATACAAAAGGCATACTTCATTTCCTATAGGGGAAGAAAGAGCTGGGAAGGCTGGATGAAGACAATTTCATCCTTGGATGACAGAGAAAAAAACTGGTAATGGTAGATATTATGAGGCATAAAAAAGTTGAAGACATGAAAATATTGGATTTTATAAATACATTTGTGCAGTCCTTCTGCATGTTTAGCAGTTCAATTACATTAATATACAGCAATTTTCTTAATATCATAAAATTCAAGTATCCAGATAGGCACTCCCATTTCTCTAGTAAATATCCAAGCTACATCAGCAATCTGTCTATATACAGTTCCTAAGAATATATTTAAAGGGGCTGGGGTTGTGGCCCAGCGGTAGAACACTCGCCTAGCATGTGCAAGGCCCTGGGTTCCATCCTCAGTACCACATAAAAAAATAAATAAATAAAATAAAGTTATTGTGTCCAACTACAATTAAAAAATAAATATTAAAAATAACGTATTTAAAAAACAGTGAGAGCTGTGAAGTCTGTGCCACAATGGATGGATCAAACTGCCAAACACTGATATAAACACTTACCCTTTTTAAATTCTTAAACAGATCTAATTCCAACTAACTAGGAATTTGCAAAGTCTAAACCAGCTGCATTTTAGATATCTAGAAAAAGTCTCCCCTGATGACAAGGGACCCTTCCCCACACGTTTCACTGAGGAAGTTAGGAAAGAACAAAGATGGCCCTAGAGGCTTTCCAACTTGGCAGGAGACCTGTTGCTGAGAAAGTACTTCTTATCTATTACAATACATCTCTAACATAGGAAAGCCGTGAGGTCACATTAAAGGATTATAAAAATACCTAGATTTTATCATTTCTTTGACTCTACAGAATACCCAGGGACTGCCAAAGGTACCCCTGATGACAGTCTTGAAAACTAAGGACATGATCTGGCTCAAGTCCAAAAGGGCAACACACATGGTAGGCTCGTGGACTGGGGTCCTCCCCTGGCATCAAGCACAGACTCAGGGGCCAGGCCTCCTGCCTGCTGCCCACCATCTGAAGGCCCTTGGACACATTATATATAAACTCTCCATGACTAAGTTTCCTCGTAGCATTAATTTGAGGAGTAGACGAGTTAGACATTTAAAACCATGGCTGGTAAGCAGCATTTTGTGGAAGTTCACCATGTAATCACCAGACCATATGCCATGATTACGCATCTTTAATATAAAGGGTCAGCAGGAGAAATGGAAATATCCAGAGGCATCTCTCTCCTCCATGGGAATGAGTGTGGAGGAAAAAGGAGATAAAAGCCCCCAAAATACAGTTGTGCTACAGATAAGCTTGGCGTAGCCCAATTAATGATGCATATGGCACAAGACAGCCACCAGGCAAACAGAAACTTACCATCCCAATACAACTAACACACACAGGAAGTAATCTGATCCCTAGGGATTCAAACATAAAACTTTTTTTTAATCTGAAAGTGTCCATTAAAATCTCCCCCAAGTAAGTTTGTTTTTCTACTCTTTTTCCAGTTCTCTCCTGTAACTTCCTTTACTTTCCTTCTCACACTGTCATGCTTCATTTACTGTTGTCCTGCCTCCATGAACCTCAGACCTGAAGGGGACAACAAGCCATGTTATTAAATGACAAGGTACTACTTGGACAGATCAAAGTGTGATTCTTGGATCCCAATCTAAAACCATTTTAATGCATTCTGACTCCCAAGCAAATGATTTTAATGTATTACAGTGTCAAATTGATGTATATCCGAGAGCAACTGGGCCCTGGGGAAAATTTGATGGGTTGGAAATAAAAATCTAAAGAAATGCTTTATTAGCATTTTGTTGCACTTATAAAGCCACTTCTCAGACACTTTCAAGTGTGTAACTCAATCATTTAGCAACACCGCATCCTCCCTTTACCATCACACAGGAGCAGCAAATCTGCAGACCCAGGGTCACTAGTGGAAGAACTGCAGCTGACAGAAGTGGGCTGGAGAGCCCAAGGGCACACACCACAGCAGGGGACAGGCTGAGGGACACCTGCCTCTAGCTATCCAGGAAGAACACTCTACTTCCTCTCTATAGGGCAAACTTCTCCAGGTGACCATCAGCATGGCTTCAATGGCAACAAGACACCATCTGGAATCACCAGAATCTTGCAAATTTTCACAGGATACAAACCTTTGGGAGGAGTGAGGTTGACTCCATTTTTAAGGCACCATTGTACTGGCAAAATCCCCAAAGAATCCGCATGGCACAGCATTGAGAATTTACTAGGTTCTGGTCTTAGGTCATCAATAGTCACTTGAAAAAAATGATTGTTAAAAACCTGAAACAAAACAAAAAGCCAAAGGTTAATTCCTTGGTATTTCATATGTAAAGCTGGCACTGCTTCCAAACAGATATGTCATCAAATTGATGGGGAAACAGCTAAGACAGGCGCTGAAAAGCCCAGCTGGTTTCTCAGTGTCAACAGCAGGCACCAAACTTCTCACTTCAGATCATTCCAACATCAGTAAGATCTGGCCCATGAGATTTCTAGACTCACCCTGCATCGGGACCCTCCAGAGACCCCACCCGAAGCCCAGGGGGTGATCACTCCCTGGAAGACCCCCTCTCGCTAGTCTAGTAAAACTTGCTGCATTTTTCAAGGTGCAACTCAAATGTCAATGCTACGGGCCTGGCTGGAATAAACAGCCCCTGTTCTGTGCTCCCAGAGCCTGAGACACAAACTCTGTACTAAGGATCCTGGTTTCTTTCCTGGACTAATCACTTAACAGTCTCCACCAACAGATCCTAAGTTCTTTGAGAACACAATGAACTGATGGCTCTTTGTCATTCATCAAAGTATTTCCAAATGCTTTGTATAGAGAAACTGAATAAATACCCAAGGAATATAAGAGAAAACATCAAAGATGAAAAAGGAACAAGTTTTGCTGATAAAACCAAGAAGAGGGCAAAAATCAGACGGTCCCCCACACTGAAAACCATGGTGAGTTTAAATCCCTGTATGTAAAGCAGGACGGAAAAAAAAGACTGCTTTCCCAACTCAACAGACATTGACTGGTGTTTCTTAGGCAACTTTAACATTTTTACTAAGCTATGGTACCGAGCTTATAAAGCTTTATAAAGCTTATAAAGTATTTCCTGGGAGTAGACAAGTTCGAATTTAAATAGGAGCAGAAACTCGCTTTTCTGCTCCTCTTGGTTCATTCCAGTACACAGTTCCAGTTCTAAGCCTCTGAAAAGAGCAAAGGATCCACCATGGCCAGCCTTCCCAGGGAGGCCATCCTGACAGTCTTATTTAAAGTTACATCCTCCCTCCACCCAGATGCTCCATTAGCCCCTCCCTGGTATGTTTTCCTCCTCAGCAAGTAACCCGTAAACACTACATTTATTTATTCATTATTTTTGTTTATTGTCTGTTTTCCCCTATTAAAATACCAGACTTTGTCCACAACCCATTGTCCAGAACAGTGCCTCTAAATGCTCAGTAAATATCTGCAAAAATGTTCTACAATGTTCATACACAGACACACATTAAAACAAACAAACAAACAAACAAGTAAGTTTGGTGGCAGGATCTCTAGGCACACAAGGCTCGGCAAAGGCAGGCACCAAGGAATCTCCAAAACCCATTAAAATGCAGGTTCATGTGGGCACACACATCGGGGTTCACATTCCCAAATGGTCAGAACCGCTGGTTTGTGTTCCATCTGGTCCAGAATCCAAAGGTCTCAGAACCAATGCTCAAGGGCAGTTAATCAAATTGCTCAAAACTGCACAGCTCCGAGCTTGCAGAAACAGAAACCCAAATCCAGATTGCAACTCCAGTGCACTCTCCTCTCATCAATACCGTCCATGTCACAGTGACGCTATCTTCATCCTCTGTCAGCATCTCACCGATGTGGGACACCAAAATCACAGTCCCACTGGACTGCTGAAGGTTGGTCATTGAATACTGCATCTGCCACACACTCATCCACATTCCTGTTTGTTTGCTTTAATATTATTTACTCACATCTCCAACAGTTGTGCCATGAAGAAAAACCTCAGGGGGGAGGTAGGGAGATGAAATCTTCACTGTGATGAGTCATGACAGCATAGTGTGTTACAGTCTCAAACACAATATTCTAAAACATTTACTAGTGTTTTGAAAAAAGAATCTAGTTATAAGTATCTTCTACACCAAGAATGCTCTGAGATCACACTGCATGAAGAGAAGTCTTAGGCCTGGGAAGCTGTGTTTCAGGGTTCCAAGGGATGGCTCCGCACATGGCTCTATTTAGTTTATTCTGTAATGCCAGATAAAGTTGACACTGTCACCCCGCAGAATAAGGACAATGTGCCATGTATCCAGAGAATAAACATCAATCTCTGCAGCAATGAAGGCAAATTCTGGATAGGTTTCAATAAGGTACAACTCTTCAGCTTTGAAAAAAATTTTGAAGACTACCAGTAAAGAACCCCAAAAGACCATTTCCAATAAAAAGGTTTTTAATAGATGATGCACAAATGGGAAGACATTGTGTTTCAATCCCAAGATCTTCATAAAGCACAAGGCAATAATTTTTCCTTAAAGAACTCACCTTAACAGTCATAAAAACAATTTGTTCACTAAAGGAAAAGATTAGAAAAAAGGAAAATAACAACTCGGGATTGTAACCACTTTTCACATTCTATAACATACCCACCACCACTGAATTCCTAAGATTCTACCAAATCATAAATTTAAAAACTAACACAAATATGCTGAAACACTTATCACTCCATGAACAAATGAGGTTCTATCAAAAAACATTAAAATATAATTTATTTTTGAATTTTTAACTCCTCCTTCTGAAAAGGCCATGTATGGGCTAAGAATGCTAAGTTTGTTGGGTTTTCCCACCATTTGTAACGGAATAATTAAGGTAGAAACATGCATTTTAAGTTTTAGAGCAGGTGATGTCATGGAGAGATTTTTTATTAAGAAGAGATATTATAATCTTAAAGGCCAATCAGATCATTAAAATGCCTCTACATGAGAAAGTCTTTCATTTTGGACCCGAAAGTCTCAGAAGCGTGAGTTTTCCTTCAATCAGTGGAAGCAGATGAGCAAAAGAGGGAGAAATGCTGGCTCATGGGGAGCTGAGAATTTGCTTCCCAGCATTTTCAGGCATTTTCAAAATAGAAATAGATCCTATTCACTCCTACCCAGACAGGAGAAGTGAGTTAACTCTTATGATGACGACAACACGCAACTCACCAGCAGACAACTAGCAGAAGGGAAATTCAACCTATCTCTTCTAAGAAGAGGCACCTGATCAGACTCCTTCTGCCCCTATGGATCGAAAGAGCTTCCAACAGAACTGGACTGGAGGGTCAGCAATGTCCCTTTGGCTTATCTGGTGCTGCGGTGTATTCTTGTGTGAGTATATTTCATCTGCTTGGCATGGAGCCGATTCACTCTGGGGGTTAAGGCAAGGAACAGAAGAGCAAAACCCACCTTAGTCACTGATGCAGGACAGATATGAAAGGGCTCACTCATATTCACTGTCTCTAGCTTCATCCCAACTGTGAAGAAATGGCTTCGCAAGTCTGCGTGATCCTGCAGGGAAGAAGACAAAAATATTGAAGGCACTGGTACTGTGAACACAGAGACCGTCTGGGTGCTATCCTTGAGCATTTTCTTGGATTTCTGAAAGCTGATGGAAATAATTAACCCTCCCTGTTTCAAATTTCTAATTATTGCAAGATACTGAGGATTTAATTATTTCTGCAGGCTAAATTGCCTTTCCAAGGCACGCTGTGACCACGCTGAGATTTACACTAGGGAAAAAAAAAAAAAACTCACGTTACATTGCTTTGATCTTCCTAGGTCCTCTCAACTGAAGCACAGCAGAGTAACGGAGGCAATCAGTCATCTTAAACACAGCAGGGGAGTTTTCAGAAAACGTGGCCTCTTGCTAGGGGAGTTACATCACAGGGCATCAGTGGTACCTGCTGGGGGATGGAATGTCCCCCTCCTGTGCTCCTAACTCGTAATGGCCTTACCAGTTAGGGAGTCCATGATCTTGGAGCTGTGTGCACAAATCCAAAGATGCCCTGTAGGACCAGAACCTGACTTGTACTTAATAAAGATGAGCAGCACCCCCCTTTGTAATAGATGCCTGGCAATTTTATGAGGCACTTGCAGTAACCTGGTGTGTGAGACCCGGGGCTTCCCTGTCTTATGAAGAAAGAAATTTCAATATTCACTTCAGCTACACAGAATAGATGAGGATGGCTGGACTCTGGATCCAAGAATTTATCTTGCTGAAATGGAGGTCACCTCTTAACTCACACTCGGAGTATAAATAGTAGCCAATAAATAAATGCATTTGCAGTCTGTCCCTGAGAAACGAGTGGCTGCAAATAAATCTTGTTATTTCCAAACACATTAGTTGCTGAGAAACTACTACTGTCTTTTATCAAAAAATCCAAAGTGAGTTTTAATTAATTCATTGATGTCATTCTATACCCAACTTTGAGGATAGTAGAGAGCCCATTTGTGCTATCCCTGCTCCCTCCATCCTCGACCCCAAAAGCTGGTCAATACTGTCATCCAACAGGAGACCAGGGAAGAGGAAATGCTCATAAAAGTCTCCACTGCTTTATGCTTGGCCAGAGAAAGTACAGATTATAAACACCTACAGAACCACAAAGACCCTTTGACTTTTCATGTCCCCATAGCAGTCTGCAAAAATCTTTGTACACAAAGATGCACAATAAATTCTGGGTCTGAGTGAAGCAATTAATGCCACATCCAGGGAGGAGGTTAATCAGAGCAAGAAGGAAGGTAGTCAAATACAAGAAAAAAATGAATCAAAGGAATGAGTGCATTCTACACCTTTATAAATTCCTTAAGAACTTATAATCAACACTTTATAAAAATTATATGCATACGGAAAAAGCACAAGGAAATATTCTTAGGTGCCCATAATGACTTTGTTTATGCTGCAACCTTTATAAATTCTTTAAGAGCTTACAATCAACACTTTATAAAAAGTTGTATGCATAAAGAAAAGCACGGGTGATATTCTTAGGTGCAGGTGATGACTTTATGTTGCAAATAAAATCTTTCTTTTTCAAGGTGGATGGTGAAGGCAGGTCAGAAAAGAAAAAGAATGAGAAGCCACAGTCTAGGGAGTTAATACGTCTTAACAAACACCAACCATAATGCCAAGGCAGGGCTGTAAACCACAGGTGTGGAGGCATAAGAACTAAATTGAAAATGACTAATTGATGTCTGAATTAAAAGATTAAAATTTAAGCTTCTGTCAGGGATCGACACCCCCAGTACCTACCAGTGGGAACTGAGTCACATGCTTGGGTTTTGCAGGTAAATATATTCCCCCTTTTGAAGCACAAAAACCTTTAACCTTTTATTCTAAAATTATAAAATAAAAACTACCCGAGCCTACTCAACAAATTTAAGCAATCAGTATTACGCCATCTGATAATACAGAAATCCCTAGGGCACTAATGACACTGGCCCAGGTGAAGGTGAGCCGCTTCTCAGAGCCCTTCTGTTTCCCTCTCTGTGATGGGATGTCCTGATGTCACTCTCTCTCAACACCCACAGCTACACACCTAAACCTGCTTCAGGTCACTACTCACAGGAACTGGTCCCGGCTCCTTGATGGCTTCCACTCCAGGGCTCTCCTTGGAAATTCTGCCTCTCACAAGTCCCCACTGGAGGGAGCCCCCACCCTCCGTGCACCAGCGATCGAGGCTTCTGGTCTACCTGTTGTCCTGCACCAGGTCCAGCGTGCACACCTGCTCTATTTCATACACTTTTCCTTTGGCCTTTGCTGAGTGGAGTCAGCTTTCTGAACAGAACTGACCCACCGCCCGAGGCCCTTTCTCAACCCCAGCTCTCAGTTTGGCCTGGATCACTGATTTGAAGTCATTCACGTCCAAGCACAGGTATTTGTAGGATGACCTTAAATATTCACATATATCTGTACTATCCTATTAAGTTTGAATTTCAAATTTCAGAAATTAATACAGTAATTATAAAGTACATTCTTGTATCTTCCAATCCTCATTTTCGCTTTCTTAAGGTCCTTTTTTAATCAACCTTGAAAATAATAATTTAAAAAAAAAATCTCACTGGACCAGGTAGAAATCCCACCAGTTTCAATGGTAAATCAACAAAATTGAAATTTAAAAAATTCAAGACTAAAGACACATAATGCCTAAGAGTTTGACTATATCCTCTAATATTTTTGCTGTCCGTGACCAATAATGCCAGGAACTTTTTACTGCAGAAGCAGGATTAATATTTTCTAAAGAGGCTCGCCACTGAAACTTCTGGCCACTAGAGAACTTTGGAAAACATGGAAGACGGCTATGTCATATGTGCAGTGCTTCTTGGCAGATGCCAAACTATCGTTTGTGGTGTGGCAGTCCATCCAAGAAAGACCACAATAAATATTTATTAAATTAAATTGCAGGTTGTGGGGAAAAAATAGATGATCTCTTGACATCCACTCTAGTTCTATGTTCTACCATTTGTTCATTATAAACCATTGGGGATCACAGAGTAGGCTACTAGGTGTTGGAATGGACACTCCAAAAACCTAATTTGTCCAAGATGGAAAAGACAAGGAACAGCTAAGGAAGACTAGGCTAGAAGAAATTTCAGAAATAATTCTTTTTATTTTTAGCATATAAAAACTAAATGTCATTGTGATTATGGCAGTCAAAGGACTTATGAGGGTGAATCTTAATTTGAATTGTGAAAAGCACGTGACTCAGAATGATAAAGAGAAGACGCTAGGCCAGGCGCTACGGCCCATGCCTGTAAACCCAGTGGCTTGGGAGACTGAGGCAGGAGGATCGTGAGTTCAAAGCCAGCCTCACCAACAGTGAGGTGCTAAGCAACTCAGTGAGACCCTGTCTCTAAGTAAAATACAAAATAGAACTGGTGATGTGGCTCAGTGGTCAAGTATCCCTGAGTTCAATTCTTGGTACCCTCTCCAAAAAAAAGAAAGATGCTGGAGAGAAAGCACAGTAAATGCAATCAGGGAGGCTGGGACTTATGTACCGGATGGAGGCACCCGACTGTGATGGAAAAGGCAAAAGAAATCACTGGGCACTTCTAAGAAATAGCCACGTTTATGACATCTGAAGAACTCAACACCAGTGAATTTCCAAATTAGTCAGCAGGCGGAGCTGTGCAAGTTCTGTGCATGTATCTAAGCATCCATATTTGTGTGAGAAAAGGTGTAGATTTTCTCACTGAAAAACAAGTGTAATCACTGCCAGGCCCTCTACATTGAGCTGTTAATGCAGTCCGAATACATGTGTTCATTTACACAAACACCCAGATAATCATCTTCAACGCAAAGGAAAGAGGGTTCCTGGCTCCCAAAGATGAGTCACAAAATCAATTATCTCCCGAGAGCTAATGGAAATTTCACTGTGGTTTGAAAGAGACATTCTGGTCTTTGCAAAGCTCTGGAGAATCATTCACACTTCCCAATGTCTGTATCACAAATGATGCTATTCGTGATATGGGGACACATTACTAAACCCCCAGTACATTTACAAATATCCCATCACATTCAAGAGATACTGTTTGCTTACATGCACTGGAGTCCAGTTAAATTGCTTACTGAAAAATTACTTTCCTATCATAAATGCCAGCAATGCTATTCCCAGCTACACTCATGGCTACCCATTTTTATTTTTGCCCTAAAGTAGTTTTTATATTAATCAAAAGTAAAATGCCATTCATTTTATTGGAGGGCTTTCTTACCAAGCAATCTTACTAATCTTACTAAAATTCTTCAGGGAATTTGCCTTCAGTGGAATGACATGGTAGAAGAGAATCTGTTTACATAACTTCCTTTCTCATAGGGCTCTTTGGCCATACTCCCTCCAGGGTCTAAGTGTTCTTCACTCTCCCCTGGGATGGTTCTGTGACTCAGCATTAAGACTAATTTGAACTGGTGTATAATATCAAGCCGGTGGGAGTGAGGACGGGGGACAGGCTGGGCATACTGGCAAGCACTTGCCCTACGGTATGATCTTCCCTTCACAAAGACTGTGGGGTACTATCCATCTTATAGTGAGGAAATTAAGTCACAGAGAAGTTAAGTTATCTATGCAAGAAGAGAGTCAAGGTTTAAACAAGCAGTCTGACTCTAAGTCTGTGATCTAGCCACCAGACTATATCACGGACTGGGAAGTAAGGAACAAAATAAGGATTTTTTTTTATTGGTAATTAATAAACATAAAATTTCTACAGTCTGTAGGCTCCTATAATCTTTCTTCAAAGACATCTACTACCAAGTTGAAAAGTGGCAGCTCCCAATACTAATCATTTACTTAGAACCTTCCTGTTTTGCTGTTAATTCATAACATTCTTCAATGGCTTCATAAAAAAGTATGTCAGAGGAAATTCTGAAATAAGAAGTTATATACTCAAAACATTTTTAAATGGCTAGTCACCAACAATTAGCAAATACCTTGCTGGGTGCAGTGGTGGCTCATGCCTGTAATCTCAATGGCCCAGGAGGCTGAGGTAGGAGGATCGCAAGCTCAAGACCAGCCTGAGCA